GGTGATGCATGCCTGTAGTCCCAGCTACTCAGAAGGCTGAAATGGGAGGATTTCTTGAGCCCAAAATTTCAAGGCTGTAGTGAGCTATGATCATGCCACTGCATTACAGCCTGGGCAACAGAAAAAGATCTTGTCTCTAAAAAAAAAAGGGAGAGAGAGAGAGGAAAGAACATAAATAGGCAATTCATATGGTCAATAAACTTAGGAGATGATACCTCACAAATAACCAAAAAACTACAAGTAAAAACAAAACAGACTGGCAGAGATTAAAAAGATAAGTCTCAGTTGCAAGGCTGTGAAGAGATAGGTACTAGAGAATCCAGGGCCACAAAATGACCTGCAGGGGCCCTGTACACGTTTGTCTTCAAGGGTCCCTTCCTCCAAAAAATACTAAAAATTATATGTTATGAGTGGATGGGTATAAATATGAATATAATCCTGTCTGGAGTCATTATATATCACATCTTCATGATTCTATGCACTTTTTTTTCTTGTTTTAAAAAATTAAAATGTTTTTATGGCCCCTAAAACTATCAGGGGTCCTAGGCACTATGCGTAATTGCCTAGTAGGTGTCAGTCCTGGGACACCCTCATGGAGGCGCAAACTTTTGGAGGGTGGGTGGCAATTTAGCAACATCTATCAGAATTCAAAATGTGTCTTACTTTAGACCCAACAGTTACATTTTTAGAAATTTATCCCATAAACTTATCCATACAAATAGGCAAAGATACAAGTATAAAGAAGTTCATTACACCATTCATTGTTTGTAACTGCAAAAAATTTTAAACAGTTTAAATACCCATCAGCAGGGGAATGGTTAAATTAACTTTGGCACAGGAACAGGCAGATATATATGGACTAATGTGGAGAGTTCACTGTTTCACAGTTTTAAATTTACAAACTAACATTAGAGAATAACATTGAGCAAGATCACATTAATGTTGTATATACACCCACACTTTCAGAGACTGAAAAGCTAAACTATAAATGGTTCATATGATCATCTCACCCAGCAGAGCTGGGAAACACACTCTGAACAGTATGAATTTTTACAGTGAGCATCTATTACTCATATAATAACAGAAAAAGATATTTACATTTTGAAGAGAAAAGGAAATATTTGTCTTTTTGATAAAGTTTGGACTCCTCCGAGGAAAGGAGTCTTCCTGCAGAGCTGAGAGGCACTAGAGGGTGCTCAGATAACCAAGTTGATTTCCTCTCCAGTGGCTTGCAAATCATAAGGAGAACAGGCAGCAAGATTTTCAAAGCACTCAAGAACAAAAACAAAACCAAAGCCACAGGCAACTGACGTTTCCTCACAAAACTGTATTTGCCTGGTGCCTGAATCACAAAATGAGGCTTTCACTTGGCCCTCAAATAGCTCTCCCAGCTCCTGAGCCAGTGGTCCATCATCCAAAGCCTGGACAGGCACTGTACTGAGAGGCAGTGTTCTGAGTGACAGTTAGGAGAGTGGCAGTTGGAGTGGGGGTGGGCCTCGGTGGAGGGGGCCCTAAGTCAGCCCCAATCTGCCAAGCCTCATTCTGGTCAAAGAGCCATGTCAATGCACTCCTTATTTTCTTAGGCAGGTTTGCACCCAAATCTCCAAACCCATTTCACGTCAGCGAACAAGAGGCTCCTGGAGGGCGTGGTGTGCTGCGACCACGTCATAACTTTCTGCTAAGCAGGAGAAAGATGTTTATGAGACTCCACCGGAGGAGCCCACCAGAAATCCTGCACAGTTATTATGTTAATGCAAAAGTAATTGTGGTTTTTGCCATTAAAATAATAGTGAGAGCCACAATTACTTTTGCACCAACCTGGTATTTCAAATAAGTAAAACTCGTGTGTGATGAAGTGTGCATTTTCTTTATGGTAACGATGATGATGTTGGTACAGGGAGATGGCTACCCACGGGCTCTCCCGATACAGGTAGTGTGGTGAGAGAAGTCAGATGACCAGGCAGGGACAGCTTGGATGAGCTCCTCTGCCCAGGGATTTCTAGTCAGGGAGGGGAATAGGAGCAGAAATTTGTCCTGAATGAAGGCTGTTGCTGAGAAAAGGCTAATCGATACATTAACTCATTCATTAAACTGCTAATTAGTGCATGTCTACTGTGTGCAAGGAGCAGAGAAGTGGAAGAAACACAAGAAGAAAAAACATATTTCCTGTCCTCAAGATGCTTATAGTCAGTTGGAGGAGACACAAAAGTGAATGCCTAAGCAAGAAGGAAGAGCAATAGAAATTAACAGCTACATAATTCTGGGCTTGATACCTAGGTGACGTGTTGATCTTTGCAGCAAACCACCATGGCACACGTCTACCTATGTAACAAACCTGTACATCCTGCACATGTACCCTGGAACTTAAAAGTTGAAAAAAATAAATAAACAACAGCTATGTAGAGTCAGGGAGTTGGGAAAGATGTAACTTCCATCATGGGTCTGAGCCGATTCTTGAGAGATGGTTGGAGTTGGGTGTGAAGAGTTGGGAGGAGGCACATTCCAGGCACCAAGAACACCCTGAGCCAAGGCACGATGATGGGAACTGTGGGGCACATACTCCACACAGACAGTAATGCCAGTAGGTTATAACATAGATCGTGCGACATCAGTGGAAGATAAAAATGTCATGTTCACCTCCTAAGACTAAAAAAAAAAAAAAAGTCGATAGGAATATCTGCCCTGGTTCTCCTCCCTGAAACCTTCCAGCAGTTTCACATGTCCCTCTCATTTTCTCCCTGTCCAGTCCTCAGTATCTCTTCTAGTTTGTTGATGTAAATAGGCAATTTGAGGTAATTTTTCCAAAATGTAATTAACATGATTGGCATGATTATACGTGAGGGGTATAACTACTGACTTGACCAAGATCCAGTCAAAAGAAATGCTTCCTCCTCCTCCTCCTTTCTTATCAGCCTCATAGTTGACATTAACAAGGCACTTACTAGATGTAAAGTTGTTTATAACCTCACATGAACTACTTTGCGTAATCCTCACATCAACCCTATGGGGTATGTTCTCTTGCTCTCCTCATTTAACAGGTAAGTAAGGCCAGGCATGGTGGTTCACGCCTGTAATCCCAGCACTTTGGGAGGCCGAGGTGAGTGGATCACAAGGTTGATTGAGATCATCCTGGCCAACATGGTGAACCCTATCTCTACTAAAAATACAAAAATTAGACGGGGATGGGGGGTGGGTCTGAAAAAAAAAAAGAAAAAAAAATTAGATGGGCATGGTGATGCCCGCTGTAGTTCCAGCTACACGGGAGGCGGAGGCAGAGCAAGACTCCATCTCAAAAACAAAAACAAAAAAAAAAAGATAAGTAAAGAGAGGCTCAGGGCAGAGTTCTCCCCACCCCAGAGATATCCAGGAGAAGCGTGCACTGTCAAGGAATTCCACATCTGCCCATACTCATCAAGACACAAAATGTGGTGGATGTGATCTTTGGAAACATAGAAAATATGCATGCAGGCCGGGCGCGGTGGCTGAAGCCTGTAATCCCAGCACTTTGGGAGGCCAAGGCGGGTGGATCACGAGGTCAACAGATCGAGACCATCCTGGTCAACATGGTGAAACCCCGTCTCTA